GCCGCCATTCTGCGGTAAGAACAGACGAGCTTTATTAATAGTTATACAAATAACCGATGAGCAGATACGGGAAGGTTTTCTCATCGTCTGTGTTGTTGTTGTTACAGTTCGGCCACAGAGAAGTCGCTCATCATAATCGACGAGCTCGGCAGAGGCACGTCCACCTACGACGGCTTCGGTCTGGCCTGGGCCATCAGCGAGCACATCGCCTCCAAAATCGGCTGCTTCTGCCTGTTCGCCACCCACTTCCACGAGCTGACGGCGCTGGCAGCTCAGCAGCCCACCGTCCACAACCTGCACGTCACAGCCCTGACGTCGCACAACACGCTCACAATGCTGTACAGAGTCAAGCCAGGTCAGCACGCAGCACGTGGTTTCGCTCGGGGTTAACGCAGCTTTGTGCTTTTAAAAATGTTAATCTCAACAAACGATTATAATCAGCCCAGAGCGCCTTTAGAGTGATCCGTCTCTGTCTTCAGGCGTGTGTGACCAGAGTTTTGGAATCCACGTGGCCGAGTTGGCTTGCTTCCCGCCGTCAGTGCTGGCCGCTGCGAAGGAGAAGGCGGAGGAGCTGGAGGAATTCCAAGAACCTGCAGGAGATGAGTCGGAACAGGAGGAGGAGCCCAAGGCTAAGAGGCGAAAGACAGACAAGCAGGTAAGGCTCAGATTCCCACTATTATACCAACACCATAATCTAGACCAGCGGTCCCCAACCTTTTTTGCGCCATGGACCGGTTTATGCCCGACAATATTTTCACGGACCGGCCTTTAAGGTGTCGCGGATAAATACAACAAAATAAAACCAGTACCGGTACCGAAAAAAGAAGATTTATTCATAACACACGTGAAAAGACCCAGGAAAACAGAGTTAACGATAAAAAACGATAACAAAATAACACTGAAAACCGATAAAAACCCTGAAAACTATACATTTCACACCTGAGCCTCAACTCTCGCGGCCCAGTACCAAACGACTCACGGACCGGTACCGGTCCGAGGCCCAGGGGTTGGGGACTGCTGATCTAGACACAGCGGTGTCCATAGTGACATTTATCATTTAATAAACACTACATTGTTGGTACAAGTGATGTATTTGTCTACAAATCATCTTCTTTCAGAAGCAGGCATCTGTGATTTAGATGCGGTGCTAGGCGATATAGGGACGCTTTTCTCCTTTTTGGTGTAGATTTCCCGCTGAACCATAAATGGCGATTTTGAATTTTGCTTCCCCCTCGATCAGACGCTTAAAAAACGTACCTGGTAACAGGGTCTGCCGCCTAATGGGGCAACCATAAAAACACAGTTGAGCCGAGCACAGTTGGTACTAGTGGAAAAGAGGCATAAATGTGCATTTGTGCTGCAAATGGAGACTACTAGTCTTCCTAATAATAGCAGATTTTTATTAAAAGAAGTGTAGAGACCAAAAGTCAGGGCAGGGGGGCAAAAATAAGAATACACTTGAAGCTGTCAAAGGAATGGGAGCCTGTTAGAGGGCTAATACAGAGAGTCAGACAACCATTTGCACTCACACCACTAACTGCATGTCTTTGGACTGTGGGAGGAAGCCGGAGACCCCAGAGAGAACCCCTGAGGACAAGGGGAGAACATGTAAACTCCACAATGAAAGGCCCTGGCCAGATGGTGGAGTTGAACCCATGACCTTCTTGCTGTGAGACTAATCACCGTACCACCATTTTGCCTCATTTCTGTTGAGCTTATTCTCTGGATGCATTAAAGAAGTCTTGACCTGGATATCTACTGGCTCTGAAAGTCTGAAATACTGGCCTTCGCCCCTAGAGGACAAGTCATCAGACTTCAGCCTATTGATTCCTACATAGATTAACATTATCTTTTGCACTAGTTTGCCTGACTGCAAGAAAAATGATTGCTCAGTGGCACTGAAACAATGGTAATTTCTGACAATTTAGTTACTCACAAGACTTCATGTGCAGTTCCGTTTTATCTCAGCCGTTTCACTGCAGAGCCAGATGTGATAAGAAATTTTCCTAAGCAAGATCGAGTAGCACAAACTTGAATTCCCCCGTAACAGGGGAAATATTAGTCGGATTTTAGAGTGGCAGAAGCTCGGGATCTTTTAAAAAGCTGAAGACGAAAACAGGATGGTGTCCACAGCAGGATAATGAACAACACAAGTCAAGATCCACATCAGACTTCCTCAGAAGGTGCAAGCTCAGGTGCTCAGTCCTTGCGCTGGCAAAGGTCGGCAGCCTTAACCCAACAAATTTCCCACGTGTGGGATTAATAAAGGTTATCTTATCATAGTAAATAAAACCTCTATTGAAAATCTGCGGTTAGACATAAAAGTTAACTTGAGGCAAGAATCTCAGAACTAGAAATCCCTTTCTAGGAAAGTCATCACCTCAAAAGATTCCTGGCTGCTACAAACAGCTCTGATTGTTCCCAGTGTTACTAATTACTGCCAGTGAAGGATAACAGAACTGTCACTTTCAGCCCTTTTCCTCCTTTGATATTTTCACACTGTAAAAAGATGGGTATTTTATTCTCCACGGTGAAGGAATGTCACAAGCATAGCAGTATAAAGAAGGGAAAAAAATACACTTGTTGCTGTGTTCTTACAGATAGAGGCAGCCAATCAGAAGAAAGTTGACTTAAAGGCAGCAAAAGCGCCTCGTTTCAGAGAGTAGAGCTGAGGTCCATTCAGAAACCAGAAGAGAGAGTTTGAATTTCTTGTAACATCCATGCCCTGCTTATTTTTCAGGTGGGGGAAAACCTGATCCACTACTTTCTGCAGAAGGTGAAGTCACTTCCACTTGCCACCATGACTGAGGAGGAAGTGAAGGCAAAGCTCAGGAAAATGAAGCAGAAGCTGGTTGCCCAAAATAACACGTACATCAGCGAGGTCCTTGCACGCTGCGTTCCTGTTAAAACTGCTTGATTTTTAAACCCCTACCCGCTGTCTGCTCTGCAAAGTTAAAGTTCATCACTGTAGCGAAGAACACGAGAGTGCTTATACTGTAGTTTTCCAATAAAGGATTTATTGCCAATCTGCAGACACTTTTGTTTTTTTGTCCCAGTTATTTCGTGAGATTGCTCTGTCGCTTAACCTCCTAGGACCTGGCATCCACATATGTGGACATCACATTTTGGGTTATTTAGACCAATACTCAATTTTACTCTACAAGCGCCTGATATCCACTTACGAGGACATTATACTGCTACTGTTCTATCGAAATTTTAAACGAATATTCTCATGTGTGGCTCTCATTTTTCTTAGAAACAAAAATAAAAAAAATCTGGTAATTATTTGTTTTTACATTCATCGGGTCCCAATATGCCCAAATATCAAAGAGAAATAAAAATGCATGCCGTGGAAGAGTTCGGGTCTTAGGTTAATGCAGATCCGTGACACCAGTAACTTGTGTGTCTACTGTTGGTCAGGAGGTTAGATGGCTCAGCTCGGGTAATACTGTGTATAATTGAGACTAATTGCTTAAAGAGCTCTGATCACTCGATGCAGTATGGATAATGAAGTTAGTTCTGGTGGTAAATCACACTGAGAACCCATCTCATTGCAGAAATGTTCACATCTAAATACATACCATATGATAGCTGACTAACAGTACTCGTCAATTTCCTTATCTGCTTATCCAGGTTAGAGTTGTAGGATTGATACTGATGAGTCTTGGCACATCATTGTAAAACTTGTTCAGCATCACATCTACTTTATTTTGAATCTTTTTTTTTTTTTAAACTCCAATTACAATGCGTTTTTTTTTTCTTGTTGGAATAATTTAAAACTGCTGAATTTGGCTGGACGCATAACTTTGGGAGTCCTAGTGGTGCCAAGATCTTTTTCAATTATCAGGGCACTGAATAAAAAATAGAGATTTCATTTACTATTAACTTAGCAAGTGAAAGGTCACTGGTCAGGAAGGGCATCTGGCATAAAACTGCCAAATGTAGCACTAATGCTGTGGCAATGAAGTAGCTGAAAAGTAGTCCTCACCTTATTTAACAACCTTGTGGACAGTGGACTCCTTTGCACTTCATAACTTATCCCGACTGACAGTGTACACTCTTCCATATGTGGGACAGTCCCTTAAGTTCAGGTACACAGGTCTTATACACCTCTGTTCCTTCAAAATAATCCTGGTGTAATTCCAGATCCAGCTTTACAGTGGTGCAAAAAGTACTCATTACTGTGGCTCAGTCACACTAGGAGGAGGCAGCCTCCTTGCGACAAGGACAAGTCACCTGGTGGGAGGCGATCTGCTTCCAAATAAACAGTCTAAATTGGACTGATTGCAGTCGGTCTCAAATAGACCGCTAAAGGTTTGGAAATAATTGTTCTTCGCCAAATACTGTAAACAGTGCGAGTCAGGCTTCTAAAGAGTACCACTCACCTATGACACATCTCTGTGCCAAAGAGAATTGGTCTCAGCTGGTAGCAAACTGGCTGTGGTCTTGTTATATATATATATATAATATATTATATATATGTAGCTATAATTTCGATAGCAAAATTGTTAGTTGCAAGCCTACCTGAAACGGTGAAACTGACTATATCACACTTTTGAACCGCAATCCTCAATCTTTGAACGCACGCAGCTTTTAGAGAAAACCTGATTCAGGCGTTCAGCAAAGCTCGTCTCTTTCTTCCTTCTGGCTTTGATCTGTGTACAGCTGCAATATTAAGTCCATCAGTCATTGTAGGCAAGTTCAACACGTCTCCAAACGGCCACTGGAAACAATCCAGCCATAAATCTTCCATTTACATGAATTAGACATAGCAAACAGCAATCTGAAATATCAGCAGCCAGTTCTGATGATTGACGCCGTTGCTCCATGACAATCCAAAACCCCTGACAGGCAACAGAAGACTCGGAGCGGCTGCGAGCAGTCAAATTATATCAGGGCAGTTTTTCACCATCATAACACATCTCCTCAAGTTCTCAAGTTGCATTTTGTTTTTATAAAAACGGACATTTATTGCAAGTGAATTTAAAGACAGACACCTCTGATCTAATAAAGTTTTATTTTCTTAGAAATGGCCAGTTTCCTGTTTTCTTTTTTTGTCTTTCTAAGAAAGTATACCCTTTTTGGATTCCAACTAGCATCTACATAATGGTTATTGAATACTTCACAATATATTAAGTCTAGATGTTATGGTACATGCATACGATTCAGGCTGCATGAGGAGCCACAGTCACCACGATACACAGGGCTGGGGGTGAGACAGGGGAGGGGAGGATATTTTTTTTTGGGGGGGGGAGGTGGGGTGGGACGTGACTGCAGATTGTCTCTTTAGTTCCAGTTTTAGAGGAGTCTTGACACCTCCTATTGAAACCCTCTCCACAAAAAACACTGACTGCATCAATTTATAAACATATAATCACGCACACACACAACTTTCACTGTACACGACACACATTTACACTCGTACTTTTTGTACTTCTGTGGAGCTCCTCCACATGCCATTGAGGCTAATATACAAGAGGATTTTTTCTTTTTCCTTTTTTTTTTTTTTTTTTTCTTTTTAGTGTTTAAACGAGTTTCTCTTTCACAGAAAGAACTTCACAACTGGAACGTCTGAGTTTCTGCAGCCTGACAGGCTGTTTGGGCAGGAGAGGGGACGCTAACCAAAGAAATAATAATTATAATAATATATAATAAAATAAAAGACATTCAAATACAGTCAGCTTTTTGCTCAAAAATACAAAACTACATGAGAAAGCATTGAAATAAAATCCACTGATCTGAACATATATTTAAAAAAACAAAAACAAAAACAAAACAGAAAAAAAAGAAAAAAGAAAAGCTTAAGTGCTCCATCACACGCGCGCACACACCATCTTGCTTTTACTCACACACACGCACACACAACAGAGCAACATCCACCCATCCGTTGCCTAGGTACAACTGCCTGGGCAGCCAATAGAGATGGCAGCTACGAGGAAGCAGGAAGTCTTTGACAGCAGTTCTTATGATGACGACGATGGTGATGATGATGATGGTGTTGGTGAAGAGGGGTAGGAGCTGAGGTTAAAGAACTGTGAGATCGTCAATACTCGAACCTCTCTGCATAACTTTTCTCTTCCTCCCGCGTTTGTTTATAGACTGCAATAAGAAACGCTCCAATAAGGAATCTCTTGTGGCCTTTCCGAGTCTTCCCTCAGCTCCACGGCTCCCTCTAGTGAAGTCTGCCTCCACTGCAGCTCGTATGCCTGCAGGCAGCAGGAAGCCGCTTCCTCTGCAGCCTCTTTTACCTCGATCCCGTCCGAGAGCGCCGCAATCAGAGTCTCTCTGGGTCCTTATGGCTGCGAGTGGATGCGTGTGTGTAACTGTGTGCGTTTATGTGTGTATGGCCGTGTGTAATGTCATGTGTCTGTACGCTTATGGGAGAAAAATAACTCCACCAGAGGCTTTCAGTTATGTTGCAGCGTGTTGGACTCGATGGGCGGCGCAGAGTCATACAGAGTGTCCGTGTCGTGTGTGGGCTCTCCCGCCAGCGTGCACGGGTTGGACAACGTCCCCGCTCCACAGTCACAGAAAAACCTGAAGACAACAGACAAGCAGGGATTTAAGCATAAACCTCAGAGACATTCAGGTACAAGAACTACTCGCTTTGCTTGAAACGGAGATGCATTTTTGTCAATATTTAATAAAAGTTATTAAATATTAAAACAGTGAAAAAAGAAAAAACTAAATCCTCACCGATCGTGCCGTATAAACTCTACATCATGTCCTTGGTGGCATTTTTTGATACAGTTAACACAGATGGCATTCCTATCTGTCGTATTACAGGTGTGACATCTGGAGAGACAAAGGGGAAAATCTCAAATCAGATTAATTTTCATAACAGTAAGGTCAAATAAAGTAATTAAAACCCCTGCACTAATTATTATTATTGTTGTTGTTTAGCGACCTGCTTATTATAAATTTCTAGCTCAACCATTTGATCTTTAAATTCAAGACAATCCTCACAGCTGGAGGATCATTTCTGCCTCAGTTTCACTGTACAATTCAATCTTTGCACCAGGCATAAAAATAAGTCAGTAACAAAATCAGCAAACATCAGTCAAATACAGGAGCACACTTTAAAGAGAAATCTGGGGACTAGAACAGCAGCTCGAGAGGAAGCCGTCTATAGTCAAACTAATCAGCTTTTAATCAACTGCCCAATCATTTCAGCTCTAAATAAAGAAGGCCTATTATACTCATTTATTCTTTGCATGATTTACATGTTCAAAGTAATCCCTCTCTCTGCTTAAAACAAGGCACTTTACAACTTTCTTCTAATTGGCTGTCCCTACCACAGGGCTAGTGTGCTAAATCTCTATGCCTCATATTAATGACACTTTATTTGCATCATAAAGATCCAAGAGTAGAAAAAAAATGGAGTAGTTCTACCTAAAGCCTAAGATTTTGGCTTAGTAGATTACTCGCAAATGTGCCGAGTTAAATTTTGTGCATTTCAGTAACTACAGAAAATGACAAGGAGGGTAGTGAGAGGGTCAATGAAAGGTCTGAGGAGGAATTAAAGGTATCCACACAGGCAAAGACCATCAGCGACCAGAGAGCATGAAATTACAAAGTGCCTTCAAATGGGCATGACAGGATGCCAAACACAGTACTGTCCAAAAGCCTTGAGCCACTCCTTATTTCTTTCCACTGTTATGAAAATGGGTGCAGTGATTTATTAAAGCATTGACAGAGCTAAGAAAGGTGGACAAATGTATTTTTGTGAATAAAATATAATTTAAGAGGTTCTTTGCCAACTTATCTGTTACATTTAGAGAACACTGGCTCATCCCTTTAGCTAAGTGCCCTTTTATGATTGAATGAGTCATAAGTCAGCGTTAAGTGTCTTAGCAAAAAAGACTGTAGATGGACAAGTACACATAAGGTAAACATTAACAGAAAGCTTGGCTACTTGGAAGAAAAATAAATGAGAAGCAGCTCAAAATCTCCGCAGAGTATTACACATTAGAGGGTTGCCCAAGTAACCAGGGTCTGGAATGTCAACTAGCATTCAGCCATCAGCTACAAAGCCATTTTCTTGGAGTCAGTTGTTTTGTGTGTGGATGGTTCTTAAGCCTTAAGTTAAGGATGCATAAGTTGTTGGGTCCCATTATTTGGGCATCCTCATTGTATGGGTTTGTGTATATACATGACAGAAAACATACTGGCGTTTCTCTGACGAGCTTTACCTGTAGAAGTCGTGCATGGGGTAACTGGTATAGCTGGAAATCTTATAGAGACACTGTCCTCTGCTTACCGCCTTCTCAATAGCATCCTGATTATTCAGAATTTTATTATCTGGAGGAGGAAAGGCAGGTTACTGACCAGGTCATGACCCGACTGAGCTACTCTTTAATGCACATATAGCAGCACGTTACCTTTCATGGTGACGTTGACCCCTGAGGCCAGAAAGAGGCCTCCAAAGCGATTGTTGAAAATCTGGTTGCCCTCCAGTGTCGCTGTGGCATGGTTGGTGATTTCAATACCTGGAAATGAGAAATCGTCCATGAGTAAAGGAAGGGTACAAATAAAGAGGATATCTGCGCCCATAAATCTAACCTGCTGCGAAGCCATCAAAAATGCGGTTCTTGCGTAGTACTGGATGACTGTTTGTGCTGATCAACACACCAGCCTGAGCGTTCCTGAAGATGTCGTTCTCTTCCAGCAGACCTAAAGAAGGTTAGATTTCACAATAAGCTAAATATACACACGAGCAAAAAAAATAAATGAATCACATAGTAACAGAGGCGATGGTTTGTTCATCAAACATAAATAGCAGCTACATAAGAAAACTGAAGAAAAAAAAAAAAACATGTCAGAAGCTCCCCATGGCCACCCGCATCATGCTGTGTTACCTCTGCCTCCGTTAAAGATGCAGATGCCTCCATCTCTGCCATCGTGGATCTTATTTCTTCTCAGTGTGGGGTTGCTGTCTGTCTTGATCCACACTCCTGCCATGGCATTATCAAAGATCTCGTTGTCCTCAATGAAGCCCAGACCTGTTGAATTTAACAGCACGATTAGAGTAAAAAGTATTTGCGCATTATTTGGCAGACCCAGTGTAATGAATGAGTGACATACAGACCTGAGTTGTAGACTAAAATCCCTCCATTCTGGCCTCCCCAGATTTTGTTGCGCCTGATCTTTGGGTTGCTCCCCGTCCTTTAAAGATGTAATAATGATTGTAATTCATTTACCATATCAATGCAGTGGAGTGTACGGATATAAACATTAATGCCTAGTTATCTCTCCCTAGTATGAGCTATGTAACTTCCGTTTTAAGTAACAAATTTAACAGTGAGACAGATTTGTTCCCTTTCACCAAAAATGTCTTAACCTGCCAAAATTACACTGGAACCTCCATCTACAATTTCACAAATGTAACACAAATGTGGTGTTACTGTATATTTGAATGCAAAAGTACTTAGTACTAAGAATACTATGCAACACCCAGTGAAGTTGAATCTTAATGCCTCAAATACATTTTGCGGCTTCATATAGATATGTTTGGTCAAACATTGCTCCTTTATTGGGAAATGTTGTTATAATGTTGGTCAAAAATAAGTATTAAAGAGTATTTCTGCTCCTGATTAGAAAACTTTTCACTCTCAAAGTCAAATAAAAATAATTATTTAAAAAGAAAAAAAAAGAAAAAAGGGAATATGCTTTACCGTATTTGGACACCAGAGTACATGTGATTGTAGATGTCGTTATCTTCCAACACACCGTGCCCGTTGTCGTAGAAATATACACCAACCTGAAGTAAAAGGATGAAATAAATAAGAATAGTTACAGGTAAAAATTACCTAGATTATAGATTGGAAACAGGAGCAGAACACAAAAAAAAGTGTAGTTTGGGGATTACTGGCAACAACACTGCAGTCATTTGAAAACAAAGGTGAAACACAAACACCCTAGAAACTAAGGAGCAGTGGCCTTATCCCAGTAGCTTTAGGGTTAAACTTTAATTTTCTGTAATACGAAAGCAGTTCCCTTCCTAGCAGAGGTCATGTTTGAGATTAGGACTGAAAGAATAAAAACTAAAACTATGCACATCAATTATATTCCATCAAATCCTCCCATGTCATAATGACCGAGCTTTGATACTGATAAAGCTACAGCTTCGTCAGATTTTTCCCCCTTACTCGTACCTTTATGGTTGGTTCTTTTATAAAATTATCTCCTCTGCTGCCTGTACACCTTTTCATGCCTGTGATTGGTCAGATGGTAACAGTGGCACCCCTTCCATTTAACATGCTTGGGGCTAAATTTGGGAAACTGAGTTGACTTATCTAGCAATAACCACCTCTGTGTGCCCACTTAGCTTGATTGCTGATGTTAGGGTAAGAGAGGGCAATTAAAGAAAAGATATCCTGGGTAAGCTGAACTTGATTCATAGTACAAGGCCTAGAAGTTAATGATAATCACCATCTAGTCTCAGTTTCCATAAATAAGCCCCTTAAGAATATTCGTGTTCACACAAAACTCCTAAAAAGAATTTCTTCAAAATATCATCCATCAAATCATTGATAATAAAACAAAGAACAAAAATACGTTGTTTTATCTTCTCCGTTGTGATGCCTTTCTTTGTTTTACATGTTTACAAACAAATTTTTATATTCTCAATTGAGAAAGATAAGGCATCTTTGCTTTGGACGTATACAGATTGGTAGGAAAGCAGAAAATGTCAACGACTTTTCCCTGAACAGTTTAATACAAAAATGAAATGTACAGACTGACAAATACTCAGATGCTGCAAGCTTAAACAAGATCCACTTTAGTTGAGCTTTTACAATGCAGGGTTTTAATATTAAAATGCACTGCTAACATTTAAATTAACACATTTGTTGTTTTACATGCTGATATTGGCTAATATTAAAACAAAAAAGCCGAAAGAGAATCAGATTATTAATGTCAGCTCTTGTTTTTACCTGTTTGCCACTGTGAATGCGGTTCTTGCGGAGGACGGGAGTGCTGCCTGTCGTCACCCACACTCCTGCAAGCGTGTTGCTATAGACCTCGTTCTCCTCAATCACCCCTTGGCCTTTCTCATGCTAAAACAAAAACAGGTTGTTACAAACTTGTGGGTGTGGATTTTAAACACTGGGGAAATAATCTCAATCAACCAGATATCACATCTACCACGTAAATGCCTCCATGCTGTCCATCATGGATCTTGTTATGCCGTACAATGGGGCAGCTGTTGGTTCGAATCTGGATCCCTGCTAAGGCGTTACCGTGGATGTCGTTACTTTCTATCAAACCCCGCCCATCTCCAAATATGTACACCCCTCCTTGGTTACCATTGAATATAGCATTTCCCCTGAAATGAATAAATCAAATTCTATTAAACAATCTTGAATTCAACAGATTCAGTATCTTCCACTGCCTTTTTCCCCCAGTTTATTATCTTACCGTATCGTTGGGTCACTGTTGGATGTGATCCACACACCGGCAAAATTATTCGCATAGATTTTGTTCTCTATAAACTGGCCCCGCCCCTTCTCGTGGACATAGATGCCTCCTGTTTGGCCGTGGTGGATCTCACAACGGACCACTGTGGGGTTGGCGTAAGCTTTCACCTCAAAGCCTGCTATGCGATTTCTATGGATGTTACAGTTCTCAAAGTAGCCCTGAAAGCCAGAAAAGACAACAAGTGAGTTCATCTGTGATGTTTACACAGAAAAATGTAAGAAAACACAATTTACAGTAGTTACCATGCCATGGTCAAAAGTGAACACCCCAACATCTCTTCCGTGATGGATGTGGTTACGTCTAATGATGGGATTACCGTGGTTTTTCACCCAAATTCCTGCTAGCGCATTGTTACTGATTTCATTGTCTTCATAAATGCCCTGTAACAAAAAACAGTACGTGTAAATCAGAAGCATAATCTTGCCAAACATTTGTACGTGTGTGTGTATTCATGGAGATTTGTTTTCGTTTTACCTGTGCATGGTCTGTAATGTACAGTCCTACATTCTCACAGTCACTGATGTTGCAGTGTTTGATGGTTGGACACGCTCCCTGTCCACTCACACACACAGCTGAACCCACTAAACACAAAAAGAGGGAAAGAGAATTGTGACATGATCTTTAAAGACTGATCAGTTTTCTAATCGACTGACAGTAATCAATTCAATTTTATTCATTAGAAATGCAGGAAAAGACTTGATCTTTGGAACTACACAAGTGTTTACAGCACACCAGTGCCCTGATCAGCAATAACACATGCAACTAAAATACAACTATGCAGAACCATTTCATATTGAGTTCATATGCACAACTAGTGTCCATGAACCAGTAAATAGAACAAATGCAATTTTAACCAGGATTTAAATGCTGTAGTATTACTGTTAAATTCATGACTGCTTCTTGCAGTTTGTGCAATTAAAAAAAAAAAAAAAAAGTCTTTGCATTCAATCAACACAGACTGAACTATCACCTCATGTTACTCTCACAAATACAGTAGCTGTAGTGCCTTTGGAAACCCACAAATATTTGCCCCAATAGTCAACTAGAGAAATAGAAGTACAACAGAAACTGGAACCAAGTAAGAAAAACATTTTCAGAGATTTCTGAGAAGCCTGATAATTTTACTCCTATATCTCCAAGCCCTCCAATGCTAAATCTAGGCTAACCTGGAGACTGATCAGTTAAGTGAAATAAAAAAATAAAAAATTAAGAAAAAAAAAAAGAAAATAGGGATACAGCTGTGATTTCAAATCAAAGAAAACCTTGGCTCAGACCAGAACATACACAAAAACAAAAGGTTCCACAACATCATGTAAAAATAGTTCAGTCCTGCAGCAAACACCACATTTGTGAAGCTGAATATTCACATGCCAACAAGGCACACGCCGAGTCCTGCTTCACAAGGTTGTCCAGGGTCAGGAGTACGCCCCTATAACCTGTAACAAGGAGGTATAATTGCGTGAAATACCTGTACACGTGGAGCGGATAACGCAGTGGTCGATGTTGGGGCTGCAGTTCACCGTGATCTCCAGACAGTGGTGGGCATTATGGTGCTGCGCTGACTTGTCATCAGGATTAAACTGAGGAGAGAAAAGCAGCAGAATTTAGAACGAGCCACGATTACTGACAACACATTGAGCTTCTGTCCTCCCACAACATCCACACTGGACTCCTCCTACTGGAGGCATTAGTGCAAGTAATACTTGAAGCTCATAACAGGATATTTCAAGGCACCTTAAAACATCCTGTTGTTTTTTATTAAACCAATGTGATTTTTGCTCAAGTACATGTTCTATTTGAGCCACAGAGACTCCCATTAGTTTCAATTAAGGACGCAATTTTGTCCTTAAGTATGAATGAACAGATCAGAGACTAAGCTGTACTCTCAAACACAGAGACTACATAACCTAACAACAGAGCATTGCGATGGCACTAAAGGACAATCTTTGATACCCAATCACTCTTTAAGTGTAAAAGCTGAGACATACAGTTACCTTGATGGTCATGTATCCCACATACGCATCCTCTGAGCCCTCCATGAAGACGAACGTTGAGTCTCTTGTGTTCTCTATTATCACCTTGTCTGCTACTTTATTAGGAGCTGAGGGGAAAGCATAGAACAATGATTAACACCCTCATTCAGCCAGATCCAGTTCATGCACAGCAGTGAAGTCTTTTACAGTTGCAGCATAGATTTTGAAGTTCATTTAAGCAATTACATTTTGTTTTTCTCCCCACAGCCTCAAAAGCAACTCTAACTACTACAAATAGATGCATTATTTTTAATACTTGGAAGTGAAATCGATGGCTGCCTGAAGTCTGTAAACCAAACGTCACCAAATGTTGAAATATTTTGCCACTCCTTTCCTGCAGCCACCTTTAAATGATAGCACTGTCATTAACAGGTGAACAGGAAAGAAATTAATTAATTAACAGGGAAGAAAGAAAGACCCCCATGGGGAAATTCCTCTCTGCATTTAACCCATTCACTCGGTGATTGGGTGCCATTGGGCGCCCGGGAAGCAGTGTGTAGGGATGGTGCCTTGTTCAGGGGTACCTCAGGGTAGCAGTTCAGTGGATTCGAACCACCGACCTTCCGATCATGGGGCCACCACTCTACCTACTGAGCTGTCCCTGCCCCCTGAAAAGCATGCTCAGTTGAGCTGAGGTCATGTGACTGACTGACATTTAAAAACATTACATTTCTTTGCTTTACGCTGATCACGGATTCCTTTCACAGTATTGTTGGCTCACCTTATCAGTTTTACAGCACTGAGTGAACAGAAAATACTACTCTGCACACATCAGCATGCATTCTGCTATTTCTGTCAGCAGTAACATAATAAACACCAGTGACCTGGTTCTATAGGAAGTCGCACAGATCAGTGCTGTAACATTGCCTTCTTAATGTTTAAAAGAAAAAATGAAATTTGCTTTGGATGATTAGCATTTCCTTTCCTTCTCCATACTTTCTCAAATTGTTGGCAAGTAAATTTTGGTTCAAAGAGTGATTTGATTCAACGACTCTTCCATAGAAACGGAACAAATAAAAAGAAAACAAAGAGATGGGTTAGGGAAGATTGAGTGAAAACATAGCATATATAGGTTCTGAAAATATCTCACTTTTGCTCGAGTTAACGGCTGTACTCCTCTGACTAGCACTCCAAGCAGCCGTATTCACACAGGTAACAAGGCAAAACTTTGCTCTGGCATTTTAGTTGGGAAAACTCCCTTTTAACAAGAAAAAACCTCCAGCAGAACCAGCTTCAGAGAAGGGCAACCATCTGCTACACTCAGTTGGAGGTTTGAGGATAAGAGAAGAGAAATAAGATGGGTCAAAACAGACTGTGATGTGTGTCTTCTGGCTTTATGGATAGACAAGGCTGTGTGTTGCTTGCACAGCAATGAAAATGTATGCTTTGCCTTCTAATATTACTGCATAAGGGTTCTGAGAACCAGGAACTCCATATTTAACTGTAATGTGTGAAAAACACTCCCCATCTATACAACCCCACCCTCTCCAAAAAAAGAAACAAAAACCAAAACTCAGATGGATACGATTCAAATCACTCTATTTCTTTAATAACAATATAGTGTTTGTAGCAAAATATACTGGTCAGTGGTATCTGAGGTCTAACAAGACATGCATGGAGACTCATCCGCTGTCAGAGACCACGACATCATACTTAGCTTTCACTAGCACAGTTTCTTTACTATAAGGAATTCTGAAACCTGACTGAGACTGTTGTATTGCCGAGTTCAGCAGTGTAATTCTTATTTCTTTGGAGGTAATTAAAAAACAAATCAAAACAAAAAACCCAACAAGTCAGCAGTTACCAGATAACCAAATGAGTTATTAGCCATCTATATCTTTGCAATTGGATTAATGTACTTTCATCTTTATGTGAGAGCTTTCTAATCTTTGTTTAATGTCACATGGTTTCTTTGTATTATCACTCAGATGCATCTGGCTATGATGAGTGCACAGATGCATGTGTTTGTTTTTTTAATTCAGTCTATAGAAATGAAACTGCTAGGAATCGCAGGTTTAAAAACAAAAATAGAAAAAAAGCACCTATAAGGCAAAGTCTGGCACATTTCACATGGTGCATCTGAGTGCTAATGTTAATTGATGTACATTGTTTCTTTTTAACTAAAAACCACCCCTTCTCGTGTTGTACAAACAGTGATGTCACCAGAGCCTGTCGCCATTTATACTGAGCCCTCAGACAAAACCTCCCCATCAGTGCTGGGATACAAGTAGAAGAAGTCCAAATAAAAACCAAAGTGATTGGGGAAGGGTTTTTCTTCAGAAAGTCTCATCCTTTCAAGCTGTTGCAACATCTCTCCCTGTATAATCTGAAAATCTGAGTTTCTGTGCCGATATTGAAATGGCGGCAAAAACTGACACGATAGTACATTCGTGTCTTCGACTGGCCAGCTAAGCCCGGATACAAAAATAGAAAGATAACCCGACCAGCCGAAACAACACCAAAGAGTGGCTCGCACCAGTGGATGTAATGTCACTTTTGGTGTGAGATGCTGTTTCAGAGGGTGACAGCAGTGGGTATAATGAGCTCTGTAGTCTTCTTTCTCCCCCTCACAGCAGCCTAATGATGGCTTGCTTTACTTTTACTGACACCACTTTGAAATGCATACTGCTACAAAAATGCATCAAGCAACATAATAAAAAAAAAGAAACAGGCTAAATCTTCCCACAAAAGTATCACTCAAATCAGTCCATTGTCTAATTTTTTTTTTCAAGAAACCAAAAAAAAAAAATTAGGTACTGTGTAAAAATGAAAAATGTTGTAAATCCTAAGTGCTTCTTTCACCCTTTGGCTCCTCTTGCAAATGCAAAATTACACAAGCAATGTAGACAATGTACACAACTGAAGTGTATCTTTTGCAGAGAGATGCTGAGTGCATGCAGCAGAGGCATCAAGATAATGTTTTAACTATCTTTCAGTGAAGGCAACTTGCTCACCTGCACCAATCATGGTGATCGGGGATTCGATGTAAATCCACTCATCGGTATAGATTCCAGAGTGAACAAAGATGAGACCATCGAAATGGGCCTCTTGTACCCCACCCAGTGCATCCTCAATGGTGTCATAATACTGCAGGAGAAAGACAAAGAATTCATTCATTCCAGGTCAGTTTGGAAATGGATGCAGATGTTTAAATTAGCTGTGCAACTCAGAAATATTTGTGCTGTACACTCCATCTACAGTTTTAACTTACCAGCATATTCTCTCTGCCTTTGTATCTGCCAGGGTTACTGTAGAAATGTTCAGCAAAGCCTGGTTTTACATGTGCGCCTTTGTACTGTAGCACAGAATAAGAACAAGGTCAGTACATATTGCTCTTGATCCTTGGACCTCAACATCAAACGGCAGAGCAAAAAATCATAAATTTTCTAGGTGTCAAACAATAATGGCGCTACTCAGTGTTTTCCTGACCTCTTTGGTTAGCAATCCTTGTTTAATTGTAAGAGGCATAATCATTTTATTAATAACGAGGAAAAGTGAGAGGGGATTTTTTTTCTTGATCCCTGTTCTGTAAATCATCATGTAGTAAAATTAACCTGAACACCCCATGCAACCAAAAAACCAACCACAAGAGAATGACAACATAGGCAGTGTCAAAACAAAGAGTTACTTGCAATAGATGCAACAACAAGATACTGCAGTGGTTAATGTTATAACAAGCAGCTCACTGTAAGGACTAAGACATCTGCAAAAACCTTAGCAACTATAAAAAGCAAAATAACTAAAGTCAATGTGACTTGAAAACCAAATCATACATTTGACAGGCATTTCTTCCAACAGGTAAGAATTCACTGCACAGAAGTTCTGACAAGCAGTGTATAAGCAGCGAAAAAGCTATCCGTCATTGAGTTTGACCAGTTTCCTGTTGATAAAAGGCACTAGGCAACCACTTCTCTGAAATTCTGACACTCCAGCTTGTTTCCAGAAAGTAATGACACCAGATTAAAACCTTTAACTACTCAATTTTACTTGACTTTAAAAGTAAAGACACTGCACAAAAGGCATTCAGTAGTCACAGGGCAGAGGTACATATGACAAAAATCTGATTAATTACCTTTGACCCATTTCTGTGCTTGCAAGGAACATTCGTCACAGGCTCATTGTTGTTATGAGTCAAATGATATTTACGCTTCTATAGCTCCATATACAAATGATAAAACTTCTAAAATTCAGAGATATTGATTCGATTCTTAAATGCGTTTTGCTGTGTGTGCAACATGAAGCTGCACTATTCCCACAGAGTGACACTTTTTTTTTTAAACTACACAAGTAGCAAAATTGTACTGCAAACCCATACACAATGTTCAAAACTCTACAGTGTTTACTTTGATGTGTAGAAAGAAAAACAAAGAAGGACAACATTCACTACTAATACTACTACTGATCACAGTGATAATGATGAATAACTCACCAGCTGCTGGAAGCTCTCCTTCCAGGGGTTTGGGTGTTCATGCTCTTCTGGACTAACTTGATAGAACCTGCCTGGCTCAGGATGCATCATTGGACGTGTGTACTCAAACACCTCCATGTACAGGCGCTTCCTAGATAATTAAACACCACATTCAAAACATACCTTGGATGTCTCTTTGTTTAATGACTACAATATGCAAAATGGGAACAATGGACTGACCATAAGATTGGATCGTTTGCTAGCTGGCTGAATCGTTTGCAGACACAAGCTGCCTGACAAAGGTCCTGTTCCAGTAAGTAGGAGAAAATCTTCAAAACGACCTCATCTGGAAGCTTCTGCTGCAGATATTGCTCTGCTGGTGCTGCTAAAAATATACAGAACACACACACACACACACACACACACACACACACACACACACACACACACACACACACACACACACACACAAAATCAAAAGGTAAGATTTATGAGAATCACTTCACTACAAGAACATTAAGTCATGCTATTTAATAGATTGGGGGGAAAAAAATGAATCACTGTCCTTGCCCAGCTGCAGACATTTAACACACACCTGGCAGGTCGTGGCTCTTACCGGACACACGTGCCCGCTTGGCTCGATGGCCAAAGGCCTCTGTTGATGAAGTTGAAGCTCCCTGTAAAAGGTGATGAGTAGGATATAAACTTCAATGCCAAGAAAGTACTGAGCAATCAACGGGAAATTTACTGCTGTGTCACAAAATTATTGCTCCTTTAGTGGAGGACAACTAATCAGCCATTCTCTCCCACTCACAGTCATACACAACATTGCAGTAAATTACTCAAGAAGTGCTTCTGTCTAACCTCCATTGGGCCCTTGCTAGGGCAGGCTGAGGCGGTGGCGGCAGCGGCGGTTCTCTTGGGAAGCAGGGTCTTGCGTCGAAGCTGGTAGGGACTGTTCTGGGCACCTGGACCGGACTCCTCAATAGCCATTTCAGCTGCAGCTGCTGCAGGCGCCTCCTCATCTAAGTAGAAAAGCAGAAACATATTCTACATATACACACCACTTTCAAAAAAAGGCACCTCGGTGAACAAAGCTGGTTTATAAAGCAGGGTGAGTCATGTATTTAAAAAAAAAAAATTACATTAAAAAAAGATCAAAATCAACATTTAAGAAGTCTCATCTCTTTTTTTACCAATTTTTCACACCTATAATGTTTCCAGAAATGGCAACACTTTTATTATCCAGATCATTATCGACACAGTGGTGCAAATTTAAATCCCATACTGTATGCCAACTGCGCAGGCTAACAGCCTGGGTAATAGCTGGCAAGGCAGACAAAGGTTGGTGATTGATAATGACAGATGCACCCGCTGCAGCCACATTACCAGTCTTATATGTTTAGTTATTCCCAACAGATATCAGTCGGCGTGCATTCGTCTGTAAGGCGGTCCTGTGTGTGCAGAATCAGACACATCTTTTATGGTGCTGTCAAATTAAGGGCCGCCTATGATGTCGATCAGACGTGCGGCTAATGGCTAAAAACTGAACTGCGTAGCTGGTAAATCCGCCGTGTAAACAAATCATACCACGGCTAGCAGTCACCGAGTGTAAGGAAGGGGGATAGTGCTAAAATCTGCTGCCTGCATTAGCTTCAAACTGCAGCGCAAAGAGCACAAAATGGACTCGGTGAATTTATCCAATTTCCACCGTATCATCTATCACAGCTGATCTGTGTGGCCTCTTCAAGCTGCAGGGGAGGGGAGGGGGGCAGCTAGTTAGCTTTGCCCTCATTCGCTGCTAATGTTTTTGTTAACGTTACACCCCAAAAATGGCAGTCCAAAGACGCCGCAGATTTACACCCTCAGAAACTGTAGTGACAGCTGGGAATGCACCGCTCGAGCAGACGCGGAGATTGTGGTGTGAGCGACTGGAGTCGATCCCTTTGCCTCCCGCTGAGGTTACCTGAATCTGAGCTATTAATGTTGTAGCTACATACGCATTACGTTAAGCGAAGACAACCCCCCCCCCCCAACCACCATCTAACCTGGTGAGCTAGCTAGCGACGTTAGCTAGCCCCAATCACTCAAGCCAAACAAAGCGAGGCCTGGCCTGAGCCATAGAACGAGAAGCCTCGGTGTTTCCTGCCGAATCCGACGCCTGTAGGAGCGCTAAACGTACCATTAGCTAAAAGGGAGGGGTTATGTAAAGGCTGTTACGCCTGACATTACTTCGTGTGAAACCTTTAGCTTGACCGTGGAGTAGCGTACCTCTGTCCCCGTTGTTCCGCTCGGGCTGCACCGGGCGCGGCCTCGACACTCGCCTGGGTCTCCTGTTGGTGGCTCTGACGGAGTTCATCTGGGGAGTTGGTTGTTGGAAAAAATACACTGCTATCCTCGACCTCCCGCTACCAAATTTAGCCCGCAACCCAAACAGCCACCCGGACAGCAGTTATTCCCGGTTACACCCAAACAATTGCGATCAAAAACCCGCTACTATTTGGGGTGTAATCGCGTTTTTTTTCCCTTCCTCCGTCGGTGTCACAGCTCCCCCCGTTTCACCGCTCGGTGCCAGCTCCGTCTCAGTCTGTAGCAGGAGGAGCCATTAACCCACACGGGAAACAATCGCGAGAAAAAAAAGAACACAAGGTCCGATGGACCAATAATATTTACCATCTCATAATCTCACCCTGCAGCGACCAATCAGAAGCGCCATATCAAACGACTTGCCAAAACCTTTCTGTTGGGGTTCGGAGTCGGTCAAGCGGCGATTTGATCATTGCAGGACACATCAAGGGGCTGTACAAGAGTCACGTAAGTGTATTTTACGGGTTAATTGTAAACCAAACACACAAAACTGGACTTAACTGCAAAAAGAAAAGCTATTAAAAAGGAATTTGTGTAAAAATAACTGATATGGGCTGATGTTCTGGTGGAAAATATGAGTCAGTTGAGAGATGTGTTTGTATTTAAATGGTAATTATGTTCAATTAGGAATTTTTCTAAATAAAAGTCGAACTTTTGGAATTCAATATTTTTTTGATTTCACCACACACACAAAAAAAACATTTGTAAATTAGCTTTTTGGAAAAATTGGTTATTAATTAAACGTTTTAAACCAATGCGCAGTTTTATTTATTTATTTATTTATTTATTTATTTATTTATTGTTGCATTTCTTTGGTGTAAATTGAAAGGCAGACTGATTGACTACACTTTTTTCTTTTGCATCCATAAATTCAAGTACAATTACAGTCACTTTACATTGCAGCCACATTTCTAAGCCCACTGGAATTGAGTGAATGGACACTGACAAAATTACAGATTTTGATTGGAATACAACTTTAACTTGTATATTTATTATGCACGACGACCACCAGAGGGCATTGTTTATCTGCCAACGATTAGTCTTGAACTTGAAGGCTTTATACCGAGGGTGTTTTGTTATACCGTCTCCAGTGCTGTCTAGAGAAGATGTCAGAGAGCATAACGGCACGTCTTTCGGTATTGCAACACTCACTTTTTTTTAGTGCACATAAATTTGAGTGCAAATGCATTAAAATTATTTGTCTTTTACTTACTAAAAATTATATGATATGATATAAAAATGAAGAAGACATACAGTGTATGTAGGGGACAGGTAACTGTCTGATGAGCATTAATCTTCATGCAGGACTTGATATAATCTTTTATGAAAATTATGTAGGAATAAAAAGTTATTTTAAAAAAAAGCAAATTAGGAAATAATGATTGATTATTTATTTTTGTCGTAAGACAACATCGAGCAAAATTTGTAGGATCTATTGAGACTGGTGATTTTATTTGGACTTTTGTGCACACAGATGGAGGTAAAGTCACCAGAAATCTAGCCCCAGTAGCATCACCTGGTGGTGAAAGTGTATAATTGCACCCTAACTTTGAATGTTGGCATGTAGGAGGCAGTGTATCCATATCAATGAGATGGTCTTGGATTCCTTCTTGCAGCTGCAGCCTTGAGAGTGTGGGTTGCTACTGTGTGTGTGTGTGTAGTGCGTGCGCGCACAGCTTATCTAGCTGCTATATCCATCCCCCCGTAATAAGCAGAAAGAGCAGCTGCGTACCTCTCCTCCTACGCCCACCCACCCACTTTGCTGCACAGAGCAGAGGTTGGGAGGGTCACTTTGTCCTTGAAAGCTTTGGATGCTCTGAAGGACAGCATTGCTAGATAAAGACAGCTCAATTATTGCACGCATATGTGTGTGTGTCTGAGAGAGAGCTTTTCTGTTTGTCACGCCTCTTCGAACGCTCACATTCATCATACAAATTCTATTCCAGCAGAGAGGATATAATAAAACACTTTATAAAATAGTGTAAAAAACAGCACATTGAAATATTCTTCAGAAAAACAGATTCAAAAGTGACACTTAATGGGATGTTTGTTTGAAAACGTAAACACAATTACATTTCAAAGATAATTACAGGTCTGTGGCTTACAAAATAGACAGAGTTGGTGGCAAATTGTAGACATTGAGAGGTTCAGTAGACTGGGTGTATGAGGAGATTGTTAATCAGCAGGTCCCTGCAGTGTTCTTCTTAATGAATATCATTCAATCACAGCACTGAATGTTGAATGAATATGTTTTTTTGCAGTGTGCATATGCTGAAATCTCAAGCATCCAACCTGCTTAAAAACCATTCTGGAGCATTTTAGTTTGTTAGATTATCTCGGGATGCCAGACGGATGGTGTTTGTTACATAGTAGATGAAGTCATTAGTTTTCTCCCCCCTCCATTCTTTTCTTCTTTTACTGCCACCCATCTGGCACGTCACTTGAGTTAAAAGGAACCCATGGGTGTCTAGAAGAGCTGTTTGACCCAGATTTAGTCCAACTACATTCACTAACTACTTTATTAGGTACATTTTACTAGGTTGAACACCCCTTTGTCTTCACACTGTCTTAATTTTTAAAAGAAATTCAACTGGAATTGAGTGGAGGAAACATTCCTCAGAGATTGTGGTCCATATTGATGTGATAGAATCACACAGGTGCTGCAAGTTTATCAGCTGCACATCTGTGATGATCAGTGTTGGGACTAACGCGTTATTAAGTAACGCGTTACAGTAACTACGTTATTATTGTGGTAA